CTAGCTGTTGAAGAGAAGCACTCAGCAGTTGTCAGATTCAGAGTGTACTCCCAAGACGTTAAACCAGGAGTGAGGATACATCCTATGCTGACCCAGTAGTTTTCAGGGTTCACAAGCACACCTGGACCTTACTACAGACACCAGCTAAAATTCTAACACACAGGAGTGTGCAGGAAATGAGAGGGAAAAGAATGTCTTAGCCCTCCGAGCATCACCTTCAGCTAAGACAAACGCCCAGAAGCGGCAGCTGGCGCTCATCCTCCACAAAATTTTGTGGATTTCTGAGCAGCTCCACTGCCCAGCTCTCTCATTTGGCTCTAGCTCTGCAACCATGGCAGGCAGTCCAAACAGTTCCTACATCTCAAAGTGTCTGTCTCATGTACCAAGAACATGGTTTCTTTTCGCTGTCCATCAAAAACTGCCCCTTTACTGGGGATATTCACCTCAGTCAAGTGCAGGAAAGGCTAAATATGATTAATTCACATCACACAGAGAGCAGTCCCAGAGGTCTGGCTGTTTTTCTAGGACAGATGTGACTAATTAAGTCAGCTTAACAAGATGAACTTGAAATGCTTGGCCTCTTGGGAGAAGGCTACATTGACAAATTACTGAGAATCTACTGACAGTGGGCTCAGAAAAATGCTTGAATGTCCCAGTCACTCCTAAAGAGATTCACTTGTGAGCTATGAACACTCACAAAGACACAGACAGACAGACAGACAGACACACCCTTTGTTCCCCAGCAGTGGAAAGCAGAAGTCCTTAAGTTTTATTTCTAGGCTTTCCTGATGTCCTCTAATCACAACATTTAGAAACTTCTTTCCCTCTTCCTGTACAGAAGAAAATTCAATAGATTTGGTCTTGAGGCATAAGACAGGCTTAAATCCTCTAGGCAAGGACCTAATGAGGACTTGTTTTATAAGGTGGCATAGTTGGTTGGTCTTGTGTGGAGAACATGAGGAAGAGAGAGAGGCATAAGGAAGAATGATGTCTAGAGACATTTATCCTGATGCCTCAGAACCACCTCAGCACCAGAAACTTGGGTGCCACTTTGTGTTGGAGGTTTGCTCCAGCAAACATCTGAAAATCCCTACTCGTTTTAATTCATGGAATTTCGTCCCATGAACACACTGAGTGACTGCCTGCCTCCAGCGTCACTTAATTGTATTTAAAACATTGGGGGTTCTTGTCAGTTGTATTGGAAATGTTTCAGTGAATATTTACTGAGGATTTATTATGGCTTTGGCATAATGCCCAAGTCTGCAAAATACAGAGAAATAATGTTTACATAAAAACCAGCAAAACATTCATGCATTGACGGTTTCTGCTTAATAATCCACACACTCTTTCCTCCCTCTCATGATTAACAAGAATGGGGAAAGCCAGGTGTGGTGGTGAACAACTTTAATCCCAGCACCCAGAAGTCAGACAGGCAGATAGATTTCAGTGAGTTTCAGGCCACTCTGGTTTACAAAGAAAGGCTCTGTCTTAAAAGGAATTAGTGAAATAAAATTTCACCGGTGCCCCACAATCCTTCCACACACCAACTTTCACTTCAATTCCGGATTCCATATTCTTAATGAAGTATATATTCTTAAGGGGAAAAAGGCAGGGAGATGTAATTGTAATCACTGAGCCTAGAGAACAACCACACTTAGCGTGTACTTTTTTAAATGGAGTTAACGTCTTTGTATACAGAAGGTGAGGTAGGAGTGTGGGTGATTATCAGACTTCAAACATTTCTGTTCTGATGAGGAAAGAGACATAACCAGATGAAATGAAAGAATTTGGAGTCGGCTCAGATGCCAGGAAGCCACAGCGGTCACTCGGAAAGCACTCAAGGTAACCTGGCTATGAGGGTGCTATCCCTCAGTCCCTCTGAAGACAGCCATTTATTGTTTGGCCTGAACCTTTGCACAGCACTTTCAGGCCCTTGGACTCTCTCTTAATTTTTTAAGTTTGGACATTATGGGAAAAAATCAGGCTGTTCTTTTAGAGTTTACACACATGTATGAAAAGTTTGCGCGTCTAGGTTGCTTTCTCACTGACTGGGTCAGTGAGAATGGGCTTTATTTCTAGAGAGCTGGCAGGCGAACAGAATGGTGCTTAATATGGACCAAGTACTTTTGGAATGGTTTAAGAAAAACAAACAGCCCAAGTATCTCAGTCTGAAAAGAATCAACTGCAGGCACAGTGTTCCTTCGAACCGTTCTGTCACCTTTGAAGAGCACACATTTTCAAACAACATGATCGGGCATTTTACAGGCATATGATCTTGCTTTTACTGGGTAACATAAATGTGTTCATAAGAAACTTTTCTAAATAAACAGTTGCTACCTAACTCACCTCATTAACTGCACTTTTCTTCAAATTGCATTTGCTGTACCTGTATGTGTATGTTTGTATTGTCATAGCTGTATGCCATGCTTCTGCAGTTTGCATAGCTTGAGCTGAAAAAATCTCCCCAACTCACTCAGTGCTCTGTATCATAAAAAGACTTTCATATGATCTTAATCTGGTCTGGGATTAGAATTACATTACATTTTTTTAAAACAACTGAAGCACTTGATATAATTTCAAAGGTTCCAGAAAATGTTTAAACTTAATACTTAGTTACTCAAAGTTTGAAAAAAAATCAATTCATAATTTGGGGACACCAAATTCACTAAAAACCTAAATTTTTCCAGTTATTTGTCATTTATAAAACTTTCTTACTCATGAATTTATCATTTATTTTCAAGGCTAATATCAAGGCATATACACAGTTACAAATGGTATACTGTCAAACAATTGTTCGCAGCACTTCAGGATAGTGTGTGTGTGTATGTGCGTGTCTTTTTATTTTAACTTTTTCCTATAGCCATTTCCTCCTTCTGAGGCTGTTTTTGTATATCTGCCTGCTTGGGATTCTTTATGTGGGAGTTAGAGATGAAAATTGAAAATGTTGACTCAGCTCTTTAAGGATGTCCTGACACTTTTGGGATGATAATGCTGTTCACATCTGTAGACACTTGAGGAGATTTCAGGCTAATCAATCAGAAGGCAGTACTCAGTGTACTAACTGTGGATTCCTTCCTAAAACTCCACTGTTGCCAAGTCAGGCACCTCAACAATGTTAGTTTGTGTAGAGGTATGTAGTCCTTATAGCAAGGCCAAGTGTATTGTCACTAGTCAGTAAATGACTGGGAATAGTGGGTTAACTACTCAGTAAGAGTTAAACAAATACCCTTATTTCAAGGAGAGGAGCCCAGTAGTCAGAGAAAAGCCTGCCACACAAAAGCCACATATGTATTATGGGAGCTGATGGATAGGTAGCACCTTCAGATCTCTATCTTCTCTTTCTGCCATCGTGTGCTGGGTGGTCCTCCAAGAAGATTACTTAGGTCATTCACTTCAGCTACAGGTTTCACCTTGTAGTCTTTCTAACTTGATCCCTGTCATATAATATACCTTGAAACATAAGTTTTATAATGTAAAAAAGACTTGAACTAAATCCTACTGGAAAAGTCTCCAGGGACAGGAAATTATCTGCCTCATTCTTCTCTAAGGTTATCATTGGATATCACATCTGCCATGGTGTTGGGCACATGGTATTCAACAAATTCTTGGGGAAAATACTATTATTGTCAATGGTGGAAATGATTGGTGGTGGTAAGATAACTACAGGCAATGATTGGTGGTGGTAGGCTAACTACAAGCTATGATTGATGGTAGAAGGATAACAACAGACACTGATTGGTGGTAGAGTAACTATAGACAGTGGTGTAACTATAGGCATTGATTAATGGTAGGGTAACTACAGGCAATAATTGGTGGTGGTAGGATAGCTACAGGCAGGTAGGATAGCTACTGGTGATAGTAGATATAATCATAGTTCTGGCAGAGGTTCCCCTCTTGGAAGCTCTTGTATAGACCCTGCTGTGCTGTTCAGCCAATGCTGAACCATTGTGTTCTTGGTTGGTGTTTTCATCTGTGGTGTAACTGGCTAGGCTGAGTGCATTCTTGTCTCCAGATCTAACATCAGGCTCATTCACCGGTGTTCCCAGGAGTCAGGTTGCATCAATACCAGATGTAGATCTCACCTATCCCTTCTTCCAAAGTATCCCTGCTCAAATACTCCTTAAAAGCAAATTTCTCTGAGCTAAAGTCAAGATAGAAATCTTCGCCAACGTGCTACTCCATCTGAATGCTTTGGACAGGTAGAAATCAGCTCAATATTTCTGGAATGAATATAAAAAATTTCAAAGCCATTTATCAGCCCTACTTGTACTTTCCAGGAACCAAAGTGAAATTTCCAAAGTAAGTGAATCCAGGTTTGTGTTTTTCTTTCTGAAAATGCTGGCACGTGTGTTAATTTGTATTCATTTCCTATCACTTCTAGTAGTCAAAGTATGTAAAAAGAAAAGGTGGTATATAAAACATTTGCATGGCTGGCCACAATCCAGCACAATCCTCCACTGTATGGATTACTCAGAAAGGGAGCACATACATCCTTTAAATATTGTTATCATCAGGCAAGTGAAATGGCTCAGAGGGAAAGAAAACTTGTTGCACAAAAATGAGGACTTGAGCTCAGATCCCCAGCACCCTCATGAAAAAGCTAAGCAAGATGGGGCATGTGCCTGTAACCCCAGTGCCTAGATCCAGGTCCAATGAGAGACCAAATCTCAAGGGGATAAAGCTGAGCATGGCAGCACACATGGGTCCATACACGGTGAAGAATCTATTCTGTTGTCACATCACCATCATTAAAAGTATCAGTAAGAATGAAGACTCTTATCCAAATTATTACAGAGCAAAATATCTCAGGCTGAGACCATCATCTTCTAACAAATACATCTACTGCCAGTTTAAAACCAATCAAGAGCTTTATGTCAGAATTAATTACAGCAACCAATGTATCTTACGGCTTTCTTGTATTTGTTATAATAAATCCCCCTGCCACAGTTTTTTGTCTGTCTCACTCAGGTCACCGTCACTACAACAAAGCCCGGGCTTACCTGTGCGGTAGACAAAGTTGCCTTCAGCTTCTGATGATGACGGAGACACCAGCTCTTCTTCAAATTCATTGGAGCTAAAAGATCCAGAATGGTTCCTTTGCCTTGTCTTCCCCATCATGGCAGTGCTTGTGGCCATGACATGTCTCAAAGAGTCGTTAAGGTAGCGGTTCAACAAGCTGCTCTTGTACTTGGGAGGTGACACATAGTCCTCAGCCGCCCTTGACTCTGGTCTCACTCCAGCTTTTATCACTGAGCTCTCCCCTTTAATCACAGTGTGATGGGCAGGGGTGCTGTAGCCTGCTTCGTTCATGTGATTTCTTGGGGGATTTTCTCCATCTGAGGGGGAAAAAATATCACCAACTAGTACTTGCACATACTTTCCCCAGCTGCTCAACTGTCACACTTGGTCATTAAAATATGCACAATGCAAGAGCATATGCCATATTTAAGATTATTTTTTATACATAAGGTTAATTTTTAGGTAAAAGGAAGCAGGAACCTATGTAATTGTTCCATAGGGTATTTAATTTTAATGAAAATGCTCAGTCACTCCCCCGCCCCACCCCATGACAAATCTATAAACAGAGGAATGGCTATAATCCTGTTGCTTTATAAAACTGTAAAGGTGAGGTTACCTCGGGCAATAAAAAACAAATCTGTGACACTACAATATCTTGTGGGGTCAACCACTAAGACAGCATCTAGGGTGGACCTATTACAATGGCAAAGCAACGACAGGAAAATAAAAAGCTGAACGAACCTTCCGAGCAGGAGTCGTCGCTGCTCACGCTGAGCCGCTCCGCATTGCCCTGCACGTACTTGTTGTATAACTTTATTCTTAAGGCCCAGCTTAAATCTGGCTGACGAACAGTGTTCTTCAGCCGACGTCTAGCATTAGCAAACCAATTTGACACCTAAAATGGCATTAGTTTTTCAATTAACAAAGCATTAAGACATGGCGATTACGCAATTACTTTCTCTTAAAGAATCCAAAACCAGGGTTCCTGCTATACACCTGTGGTCTTAGGTACTTCGGAGACGAGGCAGGAGAATCTAGGTTTTGGGTTCAGCTTGGGGAATAGTGGGAAGCATCACCTCAAAAGAGATGGGGAGGGGTAAAGGAAGAGGGAGGTGAATGGTGCAGGAACCCACAAACACAATGAGCAGAAAAGTTAACGGTGATGTTGAGTCGACCAACTTGTATTGCCCTGAGATTTTGAAAAATCTGAGGATGTGCCTGTGTGCCCTGTTTGAGAAATATCTAAGCTAAGGCACTAGAGACGCACACAGATGAAGGTCCAACAGGAAAACAAAAGGTGTACCTAAGACTTGAAGGAAGGGAGGGTTCGATTTGAGAGTTACAGGCTTAGAGGTTCACTTTCAGGCTAAGCTGTGAATAGATGAACTGAAGAGAGTTGAGAGCCAAGCTTTGGGAGCCACTTAAGGAGACTGGACACTTAAAGAGGAGCTAGCAAAATGATTGAAGGTACAGTCAGAGGTAATGGGGAGGCCAGGACTCCTGCTTGAAACTGAAAGTCTACTGTTGAACACATCAGTAAAGGCAAAGAAGTGACATCTGAATAATTTTCATTCTTCAAGGAGCCATTGAGTTCCTAAAGGATAAAATGTCCTTTTTCTTAAAATACTATGCTATCAGTATATCAATAGCATATAGTTTTTACAATTGAAAAAAATTAAAGGACTATATTTGCTTTTAAAAATATGAACTATATAAATATCATTACTTTTTCTGTGAATTTGTTCCAGAACACAAATTCCTATTACTATAATGGCTTGTGTGGCAATGTTTTCAGTGGAAGATTCTTCATTTTCCTTTCTTAGTCATACTATCAATATATTTAGGGTAGTTATAGTACAGTGTCAGTGTTATAAATACAAAAGAAGTATTATTGCAAATTGCCCAATATCTAATTATTATTAAAACTATATTGATTGCTCTTTAAAAAGGGAAACCACATTTTCCTCCTTGTCTAACATGTTATTTTTTTCACATAAAGTCATCATTGACTACACTCATATTACCCCCTTCTGCCTTAACAAGATGGCTCCTTTCGGTGTGTACCAGACCACCTCAAAAACCTTAGTTTTCATCAACTTCTATTGCAGTTAAACTGAACTACTATCACTATGATTCAGTGCTTCAAATTCTTAGTCTCTCCATCCTCAACACATAGGCAATGTCTAGGAGTAATTATCCAACGAATACACAGTGAGTAGCTATTGTATACTAGCTATGGTGTGATGTGCAGGCCTTGGCAAGGCCATATCAACACACACACACACACACACACACACACACACACACACACACACACACACACCTGAACCCCTATAACCATGAATAATTTGATACCCGGGGCAGTCATCCTCCATGGAAGCAGGGAGCCCTTGGTCTCTTCTTTTTCCCTCCCTCCCCTCTGGTTCTCTAACTCACTGCCCAAATTTTCATGAACTGAAAAATTCTTTCAAACTTCCCTAGTTTCCATTCTGTTCTCTTAAATGGATCTTAACAACCATTAGCAAATTCAAATATGATGCATTTTTTTTTAACTTAATCAATTTACTTATTCAAGTCATCATTAACATCCTGCTGTCCTGTGACTCTGGTATAATGAAAAGTGGCCTGATTTCCTATCATGAATTATCTAGAAATATGGTATGTCATGTAAAGTTAATTAATTCATTCCAACTTTTCCTGAACTCCGAGTACTTCATCCAGGGGGGATGGGATGTAACACAGTGGTAGAGCACTTGCCAAGCGCATGCAAGGATCTGGGTTTGATATTCAGCATGGAAAAAAAAAACCAGCAATTCCTTCACCTGCTGTAATGGATCAGACATTTCCTAACGTCTTTATCAACTCTAAAAACAGAGCTGTGAAACAGCCTTCACTGTCTACATGCCAGCCAATCCCTTTGTATATGGCTAGCTGTCCATCCTGCCTCCTACTCTTACCACTGTCCCTTCTAAATCAGTTTCATGTGAGGCCCATCTTTGCCCCTCTCACAAAGAGGAGGCCAGCCTGCATCTGCTCCTATATTCATAACACATTTCCCAGGACCCAGCACCAAACCCCTTTGGTTACATCTTTACTAAACAACATTTAATTCAGATTGCATCAGTTATATTTTAACTAGTGTTTACTAACTTGCATTATACCCATATGGAACAGTATAAAACCCAATTCTCATGACACTTCATATAATCAAAGTGGAATGGCCTGTCAGTTAAAAAAAAAAAAAAAAAGCCAAACATTAGTACACTATAAGTCTAATGTGTAAAATTGGAAGAACATTTAAATGTCACAGGGAATTAATTGGCTTTTCACAATTAGAGATCATCTACTTTTTAATGTCTTACATATTCATAGTTCTCAACCCATTATATAATGACATTAGGAGAATTTTCCAGAAATGTCAGTGATATTAACATAGGCTTTTTCTAAACTGGTTTCATAAGTTTGAACAACACCAAGTCTACTAGCATACATACACTGCCAGTATTTTATCACCAGAAACGTACAGTACAACTTAATAGTGAGGTTTAGATTGCAGTATTTAATATTGATGTTTTTGAACAACAGAAATACTAGTGGTTGGTGAATTTGTATATTTTTCATTTTTTCTCATTGATTTCATATAAATTTCTTGTGTCACTGACAGTAAAATATAGACACATTTTCTACAGTTTACATCTACTATGGACTCCATGTTGTCCTGCACATTCTCTTACCAAGGGAAGCTTCTGGAACAGAATTTAAATGGCAGAAGTGCGTTTAAAATGGCACATTTTATAGTGAAAGCTGAAAGAGCCAAATCTCTAAGAGCTGGAAGAGAAAACTGTTTTCCACACATCTTTACCAAAGGTGCTTGGATTTGTTGTGTGAACAGAGAAACTGCAGTGTGAAATCAAAGGAATGAACAGGAAGTTTTGAACATGTGAAATTAACATGCATACTCTGAGTTATTAGTGTAAATATTGGGCATCTACTTATGTATTTATAACACTTGGAATGACATATAAGGCCTCATCGAAGATATTGTTGAATATGTAACAAGTATAACAAGTATTACTCCAGAATAAATACTCATACTCAACTACAAAAAAAAAAAAAAAACCAAAACCCAAAAACAAAACAAAACAGCTATGCCAATACTGGAAACAAATTTTTGTAATACAGTGATTTTTACCAAGTGTACACAAGCACATCACAGGAATGTAAAATTGTGTTACCAGAAGTACCAACACTCAAGCATTGTCCCTTGGTAACCTACACACCTTGGCGATAATACAGACATTCCACCTCAAATTACTTGTTAATGCTCCATGACAACACAAGCTATTCCTATTTCAGGAGTACAGAGCACATTTCTATATGAACAGTGTTAGTGATGGGAACCAGGCCCAGCATAAGATCCTGTTTGATTGACATCAAAGCATGCCACACAGAAATATTCTCCTTAATTTTGATAAAAATGCTTCTTGTGGTCTCATAGAGATGGCATGTGCCAGTAAGAGTTAAACACAATTATAGCAAATTAAAACCAAACTGTTAAGGTGAATGAATAATAAATAGTAAATGAGAGTCACATAGTCAGTTCATTCATTTCTGTTTCATTTTCTCAGGGATGAAAAACTGTAGGTACCAACCAATGTCCTCTGGGATTCTATGTATCAGAAAAAGTACTAAAGCATATTTCCATCTTTTTACTTCCATGCTTCAGGGGAGATTGCTGACTAGGTTTCACCCCTTCTCTTGGCAGTTTAAGAGGAGCAAAGGAAAGGAAAAGTACAGTCTAGGAAAAGTTTGACACATACTCACAGGAATGTTAAATGCAAAATAAATACCCAAACTTAAGATATTTTTGTTGAGGAATAAAATAGTTATGGCGACAGCCTGCTGTAATAAACCGTGAGGAAGAAACAAGAGGAGACCCTGTAGTGAACGAGAATCAAGAGCTCAGACAGAAGCAAGGGCAGCTTTTCTCATCTCCCTGCAGGCACACACATTGGTATGGTATATATGGTAGACAATTAGAAAATAAAGTGAGACAGACTTGTGCATGTTCTGAACACTCATGCTACAGGATGGAGCTGATAAGTTGCGTGTTCTCTGCTCTGTTCTGAAACTAAAACCAGAGTTCAAGACATCCTGTAATTGTCAGAAAGACATTCTGGAGAGCTATGTGTGACTCGGATGCCTTTTCCCAGAAGGAAGCTATTTGATCTACAGGCATGTAGGGCTAGTGTGCTACATGGAAAGAGTCATCCTATGGGGTGAACCCCATGAGTAAGACATGACCACTCTTCTCAAGAAGCTCACTCCACAGGATAAAGTGACTCAGAGGGACAGCTTGACTCAGGACACGGAGGAGTCTAATTTGCAAGAATCAAAAGCTTGACTCATACCACAGCTCTATGCTTTTTCTTTAGAAGTGTAAAGTATTTGCATAATTTATGCAGTTCCCATAAATCTGGAATATGCTTTGGATGTCTAATTCATTTTTGACTTATATAAATTCCTATATAAATGCATGTGTGGGTATACATCGAATATTACATCCATCTTTTGCATATGCCATTGTGTACAGTTGAAAATAACTGAACCCAAGATGAGTTATAATTAAAGTTCCTGGGTGGTAATTTTATGCATTTCAAGTTTTTCCACTGATCATTTTAAAATTTAAGAGATTTATCTTACTGACAATAATAGAAAAGCCATTGTTATACATGTATCATCTTTTATTGCAATCCTTGCTACAATTAAGAATTATATATTTTTATGCTCTGAATGCTATAAAATAAAAATTTTAAATGGTAATTTCACAGAAGTTAGAAAAATGTAATAATATTACCAAGATATAAGTGTGAAAGCAGTTATTTATATAGAAAACTGTCATTACAAGTGGCAAGTAACTATATAACTAAGTTAAAAGTATAACTGTATTTCAGGTCACTCAAGCTAATAATTAAAATATAACAATTTAAATTTCTGTCATATAACTACAAATGTTGCTTTTTAACCACCAAACACTGTTTTTAAAAACATGTAAAATAGACTTGCTTTACATATGAGCAGTAGCAAAGCCACGTGATCAAGCAAAGTACTGTTTTTTAGTTGAACTTACTAGTAGTATCCAAGCACCTCTGCAAGCAGGCATATATCCAGGATAAGTAACAGGCCTGTTTAAGTTAACATTGGAGCATATGCATTTATTTTCATAAGTCAAGTTTTTCTGATTGTAATAACTAAATAGTTATTACAATCTAAATAGAAACTGCTTTTGTAAGGTTCAGAGTTTTGTGTTAAACAGATCTCAAGCCAAGAATACAGAACTAGTTCTTGCCTCCAGTGCTGTGGCAAATCACCGTTATTACAATTTCCTGTTGATAGGAAGAAAAAGCAGATGGTTTTCTCTAAAACTGTATTCTGAAAATGAGCAGAAAAATACATGTTGGAACTTTGTGGGGCCTTGCTACAAGTCAACACAATGCTTTGTCATACTTTCCAGTAATCCCTAAATGAAACTGCAAATACTCTGGAAGGAGATTTTTATTTTATCGAGTGCAATTTTATCTTGGATCTCGAAGTGTCCTTTTGTTGTTTGTTTGACAAAATGCGTAAACTTTCTCGCTTGTGCTACTGTAGGATATGGAGTTTCCAGGTTCTCCTGTGACCTCCTCTTTCTGAATCTGTTGTTTACACAAAGCTTTATATCTCTATGTTCAGTAAAGAGAACTTTGGTGTGATGGAAAAGCATTTGATTCTACCAAGGTCTTATCCTCAGCAACCCTGCTCCTCGGTAAAACTGGTAGTAACTGCTCTGTACCGACGGTTTGGGGGAATAGCAAATATGATTGTGCTCAGAAAAGCTAATTAAATAAAAAGCAGAGTTTGTTCACTACAAAAGAAACACGCTGGCATGATTTCTCTAGAGCTGACAAAGTGAACTGGCCGCTCACATTCTAGGATCTTCTCTCCTTAGCCAGGAGAAAACTAATGATGCGCTGTGGCTTCCAGCTGTGCTGGGAGGAGGCAGCGTTTAAAAGCCACCTTTACTGTTTTCTGGCTTACCTCTGAATAATGGTTATTTTTACTTAATCTGTATGGGGAGCTTTAACTTGGGTCCAATAAGCACCGAAGGCCCAGGCTTCTCAAAGCTGAAGAGGCAGCTTCAGCACCACCTGGGAACTTGTTAGAAATGCACTTTATGGCCCCGCCCCAAAGCTACGTAATCAGGAAAGCTGAGCAGAGCAGGGTGCAACAATCTGTGCTCCAAGTAGACTCCCTGGTAATGGATACACACTAAAGACTGAAAATCACGGTGGGTAGCACCATCCTTACCCATCATGACTCCTGAATCCAAATTCCTACCCATCTTCTCACATAGCAGCAGATCTTCTATCCCCTCCACCCCAACAGCGCATCACTGAGACTCCTTCCGGCCCAATCATTCGCACTGATAGGGGTGGAAATCTCTTTTCCACGCACCACAGGACCTGTCACCTGTGCCTATCCCCCATCCTCCTCGGAAACAGAAGGCAGAGAATCTGGACCCGCCTTTGAAAGCTGAGCGCCATCCTTCCATCCTTCCTAGTGAGAGGAACCATGGTGATTCTGCTCCTCGCCTGCTGGCAGCGAAACGAGAACCCGGTTTAAAGAGTCTTACCTGCACTAGCGTCATCTGTGAACCGAGGGCCAACAATATCTTCTCGGTCTTCGTGGGGTACGGGTTGTCACGATGCTTATAAAGCCACTGCTTAAGAGGCCGTGCCATGTCTTGCAGGGCCTGTCGCTTGTGCCTCACCTTCCCTCCATTCTGCCGGGCCCTGGGTCATGAGGAAAGGAGAGGGATGTGTTAGTGACACCTTTTGGGTGGCCTGAAGGACCTCCGTGATAGGTCACATTTCTGCGATGTCAGCACCCAACCTGGGCTTAAGCGAACCCCATCCCCACCGATCCAGGGTGTCTGTCCTTATGCACCTCAACTCTGAGAGCCCCCCCAGTCGGGGCAAAGCAAGAAATGGAAACTCCACGACTTCTCCGTGGGAGCACTGGTTCCTGTGCATGTCTCCGAATAGCCTGCTGGTCTTGGGGTCCTGTGCCAGTGAAGCCTTACATTTATATTGAAAGTGGGGAGTTATCTTGATCCCAGTAAGGCAGTGTTGCAGGGGTAGGGACAAACATCACGTGGTTGGAAAAGTGTTCTCTAAACTGCAGATCTGGACCCAGAGCTAAGTGACCCAGGGCATTGAGCGGCCCTGGCCTCGGGAGGAGGGCCGCCCTCCAATTTCTCTTGCTCAGGTCCTGGGGCTGCAAGTCTCCAGTGGTCAGAGAACATACACTGGACTGCAGAAACAAAGCAAAGTATGATGGTTGCCTAGGTTTCTGAACTCTCTGATTTCGTATGATGCTCTTATGGAGAGCTAGGAAAACAGCAGACCCTACAAAGCAGTCTAGGACCTCTTTCCCTCTTTAGGAAGAGTGAAAAGTATGAAACGTCGTCCCAGCAGGTAAAGGTTTGTAAAAGACCCTGAAGAAAGCCGACTTCCAAGAGAAGCAAGCAAAACAGGCTTCACTCTAGAGCCGATTTGGGGTGATGCGCTCCCGAGAGGTTCCGGGAGGTGTCGCCCCTCAACTGCGAGCGCTCCAAGCCCCAGTCCCCGCTCGTGCGCCTGCGTCCCTGCCTGCCGGGAGTCAGCTTCTTCGAACCCTTTGAAATGCAATTCCAGCCGCGCCGCCTGGTTATAACAGTTTGGGGAAGCCTAGTCTCCATTAGTTAGTATTAGTGCGGCTAAACAAGCAGCTTATGCTGTGGTTCAGGAGGAGGTCGGCCCCTTTAGGAGCCTCTAGGACCTGGCCACGCGCACGCTGCCCTACAAGGCCCGAGTCTGGAGCCGATGGTTCACCCCGGAGCTCCTGGGCGACGACAGCCCGCTTACCCCCAGAAACCGAAAGCCAGCAGGTCCGCCGCCTACTCCTCCGGGCTCGCCGCGGGCCCCGCCGAGCTGTGAGCATCAGGAATGCCTTACGGGAACGACCTAGACTCAGGCCAAGGGAACCCCGAGGCCAAGATGAGATCCTCTGGCCACAGAAGAGGAAGCCCCCGAGGCCTTACCTGGGGCCCGTCTGTTTGACTTTATCCAGTCACAGAGCACAGCGCTCAATCTGCTCTGGCGATATGCAGAGAAAGCAAGAAACTACACCAGCACTGGGCATAGGGACTCGGCGCCAACTCAATTTCCACCAAGACTCTTTTGAACTGTTCTAAGAAATTAATCCCTCCAGTTTTGAGAAGGTAAATCTTTAAGAACTGGGCGTACCAGTCCAGGAGGAATAGAGCTGTCCTCCTGGGGTAAACTGCAGACTCCTGATCCTCAGATCTTAGTCTGTACTTTACATCCCCATCCACCCCCCCCGCAACTCGCTGCCCCTACCCCTCCGGACTCCCGGGTGGGCACCAGCCCCAGGGCTTGAGCATACCCGGTCCTCCGGTGTCTCAGGCTGAGGTTGTCTTTGAGGGGCGGGCCATCTGGAATGCCCACCTCCGGGCGTGTGTGTGGATTGTCCAGGACACCACCATAGGGCCGGCTGCCACATTCCCGCTCTGGGGTGCCTCGGTCCTCAAAAAGCACGGCTCCCCCGAGCTTGTTGAAGACGATGGTGTTCATGACGCGGACTGGCAGGGACGTGCAGCCTTGCTGCAGCGCCTCCGGCCGCCAGGAGCTCCGCAGCAGGGCTCGGATTCTAGAAGATCAAGGTGTATCGTGTTACTACTCCCTACTGTGCCCAGGTTTCTGCAGCTCAGGAGCCCTGAACTTGGTGGGGGCGGCGGGGCAGCTGAGCTGAGGGACAGGGCTGTATTGCTGCTGGTAGACCAGTGAATACTCTTCAGCACCTGGCTACCCACACAACACTCCTGGGACAGGTCCCTGCCGTGTCCTCCGGCCAATCAAGCTCCTACACCTCTGGGAACTTCAAACAGAAATAATTTACCTACTGAGGTAAAGAAAGCAATTTCCAAACGAGCTTTCTGGTTTCTAAGAAAGACACAATTAGGACAGCGAAGCAAAATAAATAAGTAAGGGATATACATGTTCGTTATGAACCACACACAGAATAGTCTTTTCACCCAAGAGGAGCTGGGAGGAAACAATTTGGGATAACATGAATAAGTGCATCCACAAGGGCAGGTCAGTGCGTCCTACCTAGGTCTTGGTGTCAAGGGATGTTCATGTTTTCTAAATCCTGGACCATATGGCAGAGACCTCTACTTCTTTAGGTTAAAGTCCCCCGCTGGGATAAGGACAGCAGGGGAAGTTAAGAGTAGAGCCCCAAACCTGAAAATTAAGTGGGTCTCCAGGACAAATGTCTCACACATTCCCCAATCTTTCTGGGGGAGTTCAAAGCGAGGGCACAAGGTCCCTGGGGCTAGACTATTCAGGAAATTAAAGCCCATTGCAGAAGCCTGAAGCCTCGCACCTTTCAGACTGCCCGCCAGGCTCCGGGACAGCCAGCAGCTCTCACCTCTGGAGTTGGAGCGCCTGGAGGCTTCAGCCCGCCAGGTACGGACATCCGGAGCAAGGCCGCATGGCCGCAGAAAAGCCACAATCGCAATATTGCTGCGAAATCCGGACCATGCCCACCGGCTAGATCTCCCCTGCTTGGCAACTCCCGGTATAGCTCAGTCTATCCAGCGTCTCTCACACAGCGCTACCAGCAGGCCCTTCAACACACACACCTTGCTTCTCGAGTGTGCTGCGCCTACACTCGCCAACGCCCCCTGCCCCGCCCTCTAGTCACGGCAGTGGCGGCCACACGCGACATTTAGGAAAAGGGAAAAGCCACCGCTACTAAGCGAAGGCCGCTGTCAGTATTGGTATGGAAAGTGAAGTCAGACCTCTATGGCCGCTGCGTTGCGTCCTGGGGCTGAATCCTGCGCAGACAGGTACTGGTCTCGGTGCGCACCCAGCCTAGGTGGTAAGTGTCAAAGCAAGTTTGTGAGCCCCGAGTCCCACCCCACCCCCGTTCCGAAGACTGGTGTTCTCTGCTGGTGCAAGCGTCCTTCTCCCTCACACTCCACCTCCTTCCACACAGCCCAGTCCTAGACGCAACAGAGCTAGCAAAGTGAGATTTGCTACCTAGGACCTTTCCCACAGACTGCAAGCCCGGTGGCAGGAGGTTGGCACATGTCCTAGAGCTCGGAACCATTACAATGGGTCGGGCGTAGGGCGCGGGGGCAGTTAAGACCTACAGCTCCTAATTCATCCTGGCTCCGGTAAAAGGTACCCAACACCCCATCTCTGCTCTTGTGCTCTGCACTTACCAGATTTGCGCCTAGCTGTACTGGGGGAACATGCTCCCTGAGGAACTGCCCCTGGGATAATTAGCTAAGCAAAGGCAACCAGGTGAACTGCCAACTGGTTTCCCCAGATCCTCCCTCCAGTCATTATCAATACCCAGGAGCGCCCCCCACTAGACCTCAGACAGAGGTGGGGGAGGGGAGGGCAGAGCCCGGGCATTCAGAGAATTGGGGAGCAGCTTACTGCAGCCTGGACGAGCCTGGGGTTCGTTCGGCGCTCAGGGGATGGGACCCAGGACTGTACCTGTGGCCGCGGGGCCCGCAGCCAGCGGCTGGCTGTCCCTCCTCGGGGCTAGGCACACTCTCATCCCCGCCGCATGTTCTCGGCGCAGGCTCGGACGCGCTCACCGCCGCCACCGCCGTCGTCTCGGCTTTATTTACTCAGACGGGCGCGCGCGGCCCGGGACCCGGAATACCGAGGCCTTCTCATGTTTCCTGACTGCTTGGCCCAGTCCGCGAACATCTTGTGGGCGCGGTATCCATGTTCCCGGGCGGCGGGAGAGGAAGCGATCGCGCCTGCCGGGCCGCAGAGCAGCATTTAACCCCTCGCAGAGGAGCCGCCGCGGGCCGCGCCCCGAGCCCCCAGCATCAGCATTCTCCCAGCAGGACGGCGTTCCCTTCGCTCCCGCCGCGCAGCGCCGAGCAAAGCAGGGTTTCCCTTGGCGCTCAGGGGAGCAATCCAAGAAGTCGTCCGAAGCCTGAGGCTCCAGGGGTTGCGATGCAAATCCCGTATCTTAGTTGCTCCCTGTGCCGGAAAAGTCACCGTGCGTGGCTGAGCTCGAGGTGGTTGCGGAGACGCACGGTGTGTTTTCCTCCCGATTAGCTGGAGATAGAGCTTTTTGCACCCAGGAATCCCTCTGGTGTCCTTGGGCTGGCCAGCAAGCACGGGCTGTGGAGGTCAAGGCCAGGCAAGCGGGCGCTTCCCGAGACAAGCACTAAAGAGGTAGGGATGCAGAAAGACAGAGGTGGGGCGCGGCAAGCTCAGAAGCCAGTGCTGAGTAGTCAGGTGTGCAGGAGATCTAGCTCAGAGAGGTTGGATCTACCATGCATCCTGGGGTTGGAACCTGAAGGCATCTGGAGTAAGTAGAAATAGCAGCTACAACATGCTCTCAGCCGTGCTTTGTAATCCACCGAAGACGGAGCAAAACTTGTGGCAGCTTAGATTATCCCCAAGGTGGAGGCCCTTCTGCTCTCGCTGTCTGTCTAAGACTTAAAGCAGATTTTTAAAAACCTGTCAGAATTAGCATCATTTAGACTTTTCCTCCTAAATGACGGCTATGCAAGGCTGAACCCCACCTAACAGTCCGCTTTTTATGTGGTCTAGAAGTGACTAAAGTATATAGTAAAGCTGACATTTCCAGGACCAATCGCTCCCTAGATTCTTCAGAGTTGCTATCTCCTCAATTAGTGGCCGGAAACCCAGCTTGGCGCAATCTAAATCAGAAAGGAGGGCGGCTTTTCATTTTTGCGCGCCAGGCAGATGCGCACTATGGTTTGATCGCATTTTGTGCTGTCCCGGGAGTTCTGTTATATAAAGGTCCTTGGTCGCGCTGCGTTGCTATTTTTTGAGCTGCGTTTATGCAGTAGGTTGAAGATAGGCTGTGGTCCACAGAGGCCACTGCAGTGGCTTACACCACAGGAACACATCTTACAGTTTGCACCACCGCTTTTCTGCCGGCAGGTTTCAAGGCAGAGGCAGGTACGGCTGATAACCCATCGGAAGAAAGAGCTTCAGTGGTCTCTGTGTGATGAAGATGGTCAGTGCACTGGGATGAACTCTGTTGCAGCCATCCCTTCTGATCTATGTTCTCGCCAGATGCCCTTTCCTAGGACAAAATACCAATCACGAATGTGATTTGTGATTATAAGTTCATGATATTGTACTGTTTTTATGGAGCCGTGTGCTACAGTAATGCTACTGTATGTAGTACAGAGCAAAGCAAATTTTGTGAAGTTTTTTGTTGTTGATTTCTTTTTTTGTCTTTTTTCTTTTTCTTTCTTTATTCCTCTTTTTTTTTTTTTTTTTTTTTGTATTTCATGTATTTACATGCATTTAGAAAATCCACGGGAACTTCACGAGGCATTGGCAAGATATATACAGAATTTAATATACAGTTTTTAAAAAGACAAAAAAAAAACCTTTCATTTATTACACACCTTCGTCTCACTTGTGGTCACTGAAAATAAATATATCACATTTCCATTGGACTGGGGCTCAGTGATTAGGTTCTAGTTTTCAATGGAGGGGGCAGTAGAGGGCCTTTGTTAAAAATGAAAGTGTCCTCGGTGTAGGTCACAGACAACATTCCAGGTTGCAGCCTATGTTCTATGTGCAAGAGGGAAGTGTGTTCTTTCACAACAGCCCAGACACCTTCATCGCACCATATGAATTTTCGCCTTTTTTTAAATTGGTGTTTACTCCGATTCTCGAATTGTTTACCGCCCCCTGTCTATGAAGTGCTGTGTTGTCACCCCCAGATGTAAACTTGCCATTTTAGGCTGCTATTGAGAGACAGTGAAGCACAGGAACTCCCAGCTCAGAAGGCAGAAAAACCTAAACTCAATTCTGATTAATTTGATATTGTGTTAGTCTGAATTTACTAAACTGTAAAGTAAGAACTTTTCCATAAACTTGCCTTCTACTATTTTATGTTTTTTTTTTAAATGTAAAAGTGACATCTTGCCATTTCTGAAGCTAGAAAGATGTTTAGGGACAGTGAGTAAAATTGTATCTGTTTTAATTAATTTAGGATATAATTATAGATGTATGTTATTTTCACCTTACAGTGTTGGGGGGTGGTGTTTTGATGTTTTCAGCAGGGTACCTTGACATTTATTTTAGAATTATCATTGGTCAGGGTGCTTGGGGAGAAAACATTTTTAAGCTCACTCTCCCACTTTAATACTAATGGGCAGAGGATGAGCAAATGATACAAAAGACTCTGTTTCTGTTCAGATGATCTGAGATAGCAAGAGTATGAGCAATGACCAGGCTCACTTCACAATAGCCAAGTTGACTGTAGACCCTGAGGTCCTTGCTCTAGGACAGCAGTCCAGTAGGGGAAGGTGGAAATATGAGCGGGCTCTGAAAGGTGTCCCACAAAGCCTGTGACTTGTTTCCAATTTAACTGTGCACATAACAACTTATGGAGAATGGGACCTTTCCTATAAGTTAACTCTTAAGAAGAGCAGGCAGCCTAAGCCCACCTTCTTCAAAGGACCCACCAAAATGTGTCCCTGCACACACATCCATTTGGCCCCTCTCAGTGTCTTCACATACAGCTTTTCTTTCAGTTTGTAAATAAACAAGACCACATTATATA